TAGCTCCAGGCTAGGATAACTGCTTCACGTTGGGACAGCCACTACAGGCTGGGACAACAGCTACAAGCGGGACACCAGCTCCAGCTCCAGGCTGGGATAACCACTTCAGGCTGGGACAACCACTACAGGCTGGGACAACCACTCCAGGCTGGGACAACAGCTCCAGGCTGGGACAACAGCTCCAGGCTGGAACAACAGCTCCAGGCTGGGACACAAGCTGGGACAACAGCACAGCTACAGGCTGGGACGATGGCTCCCACTTGTCACCCTACGCGCACCACACCAGAGAGGTGCTGGCCCTCATTTTTTTCCAAGTTGGACTTCCTGTTGCTCATAGAGAGTTATAATTTCCAGTGCATTCTCGAATCAAGCAGTGGGCATTGTGACAAATAACTGGCTTCCAGCAGATTCTTGACCACAGGATTGATTCAATCAGGCAGTTGGCTGTTGTATCTCTTTGCGTATGAAGCCCTTTGCTGGAAGCACCATTGGTACGATTCCCAGCCGTTTTGTCATGATCACGGAGCATGACAGGCGGTACTTCGTTCCTTGGTGCTTTTTCATGCTGAGAATTTTGACGGTGGCGACGCTTTGGGAGATGGTGTTCATGCTTCTGGCGAACCTAGGTTTGGTCTCTTCTTGTACTGAACTCACTGGGAATGATATTGACTCCTATGGGCTCGTTGGGTTGGTTGACTGGTATTGTGAACTACTGATTCAGCTCTGATTCTATTTTATGCACGAGTTTGTGCTTGGTGCTTTTTCACGCTGAGAATTTTGACGGTGGCGACACTTTGGTGTTGATGCTTCTGGCGAACCTTCTTGTGTTTCTTGGATGCCATTATGCCATTATTTCTGGTCTCGGCTCGTAATAAAATTCACTGGGAATGGTATTGGAATAGCTGGCTGGTATTGTCAACTGATTCTATTTTATGCTCGAGCTTGTCTACCAACCAATGTGCAAATGACAATGACGACGCCAGCCTTCTATGGGCGGGAAACTCGAGCCAGCTGATGCTCTTTGCTTGTTGGCCTGTTGTGCTTTTTGAAAAAAGCATTGCCAGTAAAGCACTTGTGATGGCCAGTGGTGAAGCATTGCCAGTAAAGCACTGGTGATGGCGGCCAGGAAAGCACTCGTGGTGGCCAGCGGTGCGTGAAAAGATCCAGCGTGTGCCTGAAAAGATCCGGCGTCTGGCCTCAGACCGAACCTTCCTGCCCTAATTCCGGTAGTACGTGGGACTGAAGTGCTTCTTGCATGATTTCTTGCGTAGCTAATCTGTGGTTGCTCTGAAACTTGTCCAAGCAGCGATACGTCAGGCGACGAAGGCTGGCTTCTCCAATTGTCCTATAAATAGACTGAGTCTCATCATTGCTGATGCTGTTGGCATTGATTTCCTTAGTCAGAGCCACGGTCAACTCGTCCAGAGCTGAAGGCGTCAAATGGCCAAGGCAACGATTCACCATTCCTGCATCCCTACCATACAAGGCAGCCCAAGCAGCGGCCACTGCTGTAGGAGGAGCCATTCTCATGTCCTTCTTTCCTTACACACTCTATCGCGCTATACTACTGCTTTCAAGTCAATTTTTGATACAACTATCATCCGGGTAGCATTGATCGAGCCTTCCGGAGAAAAATGAGAGGGGATGCTGCGATCTTCGTTGGCGCGTTAAAAAGTATCTTGGCAAGATCTGCGTAAGGGTTGGAGCTAACCTCTTTTGCACCGAAGGGGTCAGGGCTGGAAACCCAATCTACTCGTACTCTACTACTCAGGCTGGTTGCATGATCCGACATCGTGTGAACCATTGTAGACAATGATGACAATGACACAGCCACTAAAACTAGCTAGTGTTTGCTCTTTACTCTATGCAAGTAAGTGTACAGTGGTACAACAACAAAAATGATTTTCGCTTGGCTGCACGCCGGAGCTACCAGCAGCCAGGGAGGACAACTACAAACAGTATTGTGCAAGGATGCATTGACAAAAAAGCCCAGCAACCGTATCCGTACGGTATTGTGTGTGAACCGGACAAGCAGCATTCAACCAGAGAGGTGCGTACAGGCAAATCCATGTTCGTTCGCCCTGCCTGCCTCCACTTCCTCCAAACTCACTCGATCCAACTCCAGCCTCGTCCAACCTGACCCAACCACCAACGAACGATGCATTCCCGCTCAATCATCGTCGTACTTCCTCCGCTCCCTTTTCCCATGCAGTAATAGTAGCAAAGGAAGATGCCGCCATGGCCATGAATCCGATCCCAGTCACGACATTGTTCATCCACCGTGTCGTCTTGTTGGAATCCGGTACCAAAATGTTGTGCATCATTGGCGGGACGACCAATGCCAGCGGAATTCCAAAGAGCGATCCGATAATGGAGACGACGTTGCCCAGATACTCAATGGCGTAAATGGCAATGACACCCAGTATGCAAATGACAACGGTACTCAATGCCTTGCGTTGGAAATGATCTTGAGCCCACAAGGATTCGTGAGTGCTGCCCGTGTGGATTTCACCATTCGTTGTGGCTGTCGTCGAACGTTTGGTTCTGGCAACGGCGGCTCCCAAAATGTTGTTCTTGAGCACTTCCATGGCCGGAAAGGCTTGCAGTGGAAATGTGAGAATGACCGCGATCGAGTAAGCCAATTGAATGGTGGTGGCCAACATGCCATCCAGCGACGCCGTCAATGCCGTTTGAATGGAGTCGCCAAAGGCGGCACAGCAAATGATGCTGAAAAAGATATAAAAGATCACAATTCCCGACGTGACGGTTTGGTTAATCTTTGGAAACTTTTCTCGATCTTGTGCTCGAAGGACGGATTCTTGCAATGGCACAATGAGAGTGATACTGCCTTCCATCATGAAAAAGCTGGTTCCGACAAATAGAAACCAGGAATCGGTGGCGGCAGGTAGATTGGCAAGGTTTTCTTGGAATACGCGTGCGTAAGGTGCATTGTAGTCTTCGGTGGGAGCCATTCCCTGCACGAATGCGAGAATGAGTACAAAGAAGAGTCCGTAGGCAATAAGTCCCGTGGCGACGACGTTGGTAGGAGTGAGTTTTCGAATGTCTTTGATCCATGAGAGCGGTATTTCAATGATGAGGACAAGAGCCAGGTAGTACTCTTTGGGAATGGTGATTCCGAGCAGTGCTTCGGCGCAGACATCGAGATTGTGCGGCACAAAGATGAGATAGGTGAGGCAGACTCCGTACTGCATGGATGCAATGCCGATATCCACGAGAATGGAATAGTTGGGTCCAAAGGCTCTTTTCGCGAGTTCTGGGTACGTGAGCATGACGACGGGTGGATGATGTAGAGTCGTCGTAGTACATGATGTAGGTTGTGTGGGTGCTTTTCCTTGTTCGGCCATGGCTTGTTGTTGTTGTTGCTGTTGTAATTGAAATTTGTGTCTAAAGATGGCGACTTCTCGGTCATGTTCGGCTCTCCAGCATGCCAGGAGTCGGTAGGCATTGTAAATGTACATGACAGTGGCGAGAACCATGGATGGAATGGCCACGGCATAGCCCGCTACTTGGAAGCCTCTTGGTAGACTGATAAAATGCACAATATAAGTAGTAAGTATAAAAAAGACATGGCATAATCAAGATGAATGAGATGAATATGGTGCAGCACTTACTAAAGAATGGCAGGTCCCACAGTTCCTTTGATGATTCCAAAGACAGCAGCTCCCAGAGATCCTCCTTCTGGTAGCAATTCTTCAAAACTGGCAATATTGCTTCCCATACTGGCCCAGGTGTCAATTCTCTGTAGAGTGGCTGGGCCTTGACCTTGAGCATCATTTGCATGTGCACCAGTGGCTGCCATAAGTGTTGTGGTATTGGTAGTTGTGTCTTGTAGACTTGCACTACCAGTTGCACCACCAGTAGTACATGTAGTATTGACATTTGACTTGAAGAAAGTCCTACTAGAGCCATCTAGAGTTCCTTCAGCAGGCAGAGTGACATAGCTGTTCATGTCCATTGTCATGTCCATTGCACCTGTGCCTTCTAAGCCTTCTAACTCTTCCACAGGCAGAGTTCTCTCACTGACACTGACAGAGTGCATCCTGGCTGAAGTCAAAGTGTCTGCTGCAAATTGTTTCCAGAGTCTCTTGGGTTTGATCTTTCTTTTAGTCTGTCCTTCACCATTGCTGTTGCTGTTGCTGCTGTTACTGTTACTACTGACTCCTCCTTCCAGCTGAAAAGCTGAAACTCCAACCTGAACTCCTCCACAAGCCAAATTACTACTAGTAGTAATATTATTCAATTCTTCAGGACTGGCCACTCTGTCATTGTCCTGAGCACTGGCGGACACATAGCTGGCGCCTTGGTCGTGACTATGATCATGGTCAGACATCCTAGTCTATCCTTTCTGTCTATTCAATACGACTGTACACTATCAACAACTAGATCAACTCAACCAAAGATGCACCGATAGCAAGAGAACTACTATCGATCATTGGTGTCGGATCACAAATTATGCGGAAGGGGAGCAGAACCATCATTGGCGGTTGGAATGATAATCAATCCATTCCCGTTGTGACAAGATCATAATGAAATTGGCGCGCTCGTGGCCGTTGAAGGTGCGCTGGACGACACAACACTATTTAGAACCCTCACATGGATGCAAAATTCGTCGAGCCTTTGGTGGGAAGCTATGGATATGGATTCGATTATAATAGCTCGAGGTTAGGTCCTGCGGTACTGGCAATGGCGATGGTTGTGTCTTGCTTACAACAACTTAACATGATGATATCACGGTGTGTAGTGGAGGATATCCAGTCGTCTTTCCTGTCTTCTCGTGGGTCTTCTGCATTCCTCGGGAACAGAATCTGATAGCCAGGACTCGGTCTCCGTTGCGGAAAATAGAATGTTTGCTTTGGATCGACGAGTCAAGTGAGTCTGGGTTTACGATTTGAAGTTTTTCCCGTTGCGATTGCGATTGTGATTGACATACAAGGGTACGAAAACCAAGACCTTTTACACGAGGTTTTCCATGCTGTCCCTGGCTACGTCATTCACCGCTTGCCGCGAACCATAAGCTCTATCGCACTCCGTCCAGGATCTGTTGCTTTGTTTCTTTATGTAATACTGTACGTAGCTAGCTACGTTTTTTGAAACTAAGTGGTTCGTTCGAGGGAACCACAGCATACCGATACCGTACCGCACGAACCTTCGTCGTTGCGTGCGTGCACGGCTGGTGCAGTGGCAGGATCCCCCTTGAAACCAAAAACGATTGGGACGACCTCATCAAAGACGATTACTACCCCTAGTAATGCTGCCATCTTCTTGCAACACCTCCAGATCTTGTTCATTCGTCTGGTTCAATGGTTCAATCTATTGGTCTGGTTCAATGAATCCGGGCAGGTGCAGTTGCACCCACAGAGATTCCCCAGGTCACATTCAAACACGGTAATCTGGCAAAGGGAATCAGGAATTGGTCCTGACAAGAGAGATCCAGTGGCGTACAATCCCTCAAACGAGTGGATGGATGCTAGACCTACTAGCTCTTTTGGGAGAGTTCCACTGAATCGTGCATGTCCCACTTCCAGCCGTCGGAGTGATGTCAGGGCACTCAACGAGGGCAAAGTGCCATTCATCTCTGTGTATTCCAAGGACAGGTCCTCAAGGTTGGAAAACCGTCCTATTTCCGAAGGCACTGTTCCAGTTAGGCTGTTGTTTCCCAATCTCAGCTGCAGAGCTGAGGTGAGGTTCCAAATTTGGCTTGGAACCGTCCCTGCATGGATTGATTGACATGAAGAGTTGGGATCAGAAACACAAACAAGGGCACTGTATCGGTATCCAATGGTTGAGGATGGAGGAACCTACCCTCAAGCTGATTAACTGAAAGACGGAGAATTTTAACATCAACAAGGTTGCCCAGTTCACTTGGAATGGTGCCTTTTTGAGAACAGCAGAAACTAGTGTCAACAACATGGAAAAATACACAAGCATACATCAAGTTTGTATCAAGTCTGAGAACGAAACAAACCTGTCAACTGGTTATCAAACATCGCAAGCCGCTGTGTTTGCCCAAGCATTCCAAGCTCTGTAGGGATTGTTCCTTCCAAGACGGGCAATGAGACACACAAGTGATGGTGAGCTACTGCAGTTTTGTGTTGCAGGGTCCAACAAAAGGATATCAACATACCTGTCAAGTGATTTATTGATAGAGAAAGTCCATAGCTGGGACCGGCAACATCAACAAAGGATGTCAGCAGACCAAGTTCTGTTGGGATTGTGCCAGTTAAAAAATTGTCATGGCACTGAAATGCAAGAGTGCTGTTTGTTAATTTTCCCATCTAGTAGGACAAACAGGAAAAGGAAACAGACTGTAGGCAAGATACTGATAGAACGCTTAAGGTAAAAACAGAGACAAGGTAAAGGAGGACTCACCTCAGTAGGGATGGTCCCAGTAAGCCTAAAAGGGAAGCACACTATTCAGCACCACCAATCATAGCAGAAAGAGACCACTTGCAACAGAGATGTTGCCTTACCGGTTGGTATCCACAAACACCCCAAATTCCACATTTGTCAAAAGACCAAGTTCCGAGGGTATCGTTCCACTGAGTTGATTCCAAGCCACTGACCAGTACCAAGAGACCTCAGTCATTTGCGCTAACTCAGTTGGGATCGTACCGGTGAAAGCATTGTCAAACAAGGCAAAAACTATGCTGAGATCTGTAAGAAGACCAAGCTCACTTGGAAGGGTCCCTGCAAATGAAGATGTTATGGCCAAGGATTAGAAGGCTATGACGTCCATCCATGATCTCCATGCTTGTATGCGCATACCATTGAGTCGGAAGTTGTTGGCAAAGTCAATGGCTTCAAGTGATTGCGCCCTTCCCAGTTCTGAAGGGATGCTTCCTGTAAGCTGGGTCTGAAACACATTGAGAATTTTTAGGGAAGAAAGCTGTCCAACATGTGAAGGCAAGGATCCTGACAGCAATGTGTCCTCCAGTGCTAGGGCAAGCAGATCTTGCATCATCCCAATCTCAGTAGGAATGTGTCCTGTGATAAGGTTTGCTGTCATAGAGAAGACTTGTAGCTTGGAGAGCATCCCCACCTCTGGACCCAAACAACATGAGTGACGCTTGGACATTGCTATGTGTGTGGCACACAATTTTCCCGCTTACCTGTAGGAAGGGTTCCTGTGAGGCTGGCAATGGGTTCAAACTCAATAAGGTTAGAGAGCAAACCGATCTCTGTCGGGATCGTTCCAGTAAGGTCGACTCCAACGAATCCAAATGCTTCCAAATTTGAGAGGTATCCCACATGGCTTGAGATGGTGCCTTTGATGTGGTTAATTCCAAGGGCAATACTCTTGAGATTGGTTAACAGGTACATCTCCAACGGGATTTCACCCTCCAGCAAGTTTTGGTTGAGCCACAAATGGCTGTACCTGTCAGCAGTGTCACATGGGACAGTGACGTTGTCCGCAGAATAGGGCTCCCTGTCTTCCAGGAATAATAGTAACTCTACACTGGCAAAGAGTGCTAGGGCATAGGCATCTCCTGTTTCCCACTGACATTCATGCTGTGAATGGAAGAGCAAGTATAAATAGTAATGAGCACTGTTAGTTGTCCCTTTTGAATTCCAGGGAAGAGCCTTGAGCGATTGCCCTGCTTACCATTGTGTAATTGAGCCATCCATCATTCTTTAACCATCCAGGACCATCAGTAGCCAAGAACAAAGTGGCCAAGGCAAATCTTTGGATCAGTCTTTCATTAGTGTAGTTGGTGACAGCTGGATCATCCAGTAGCCACTGGAATGCTTGGGCTTGAGGTGTCCCTGTATCTTCCAAGGCAGTTTTTGTGTAGTTGGGTAGCTGTTGCTTGATCAACTGTTCGAAAGTCAAAGCCATGGTGGGAGACATGGTAGCCATCACAGAGGTCGGCTTGGTTGTCTGGGTACTGGTAGCAGTCTCATCAAGAGGTCCACCTGCGAGGAGGAAGACGAGAAGTAGAACAATACCAGCAACGAACACGATCCCAACAATGAATAAAGTTGCAACGAATGATTGGGGAAGGGGTTTCCTGCCTTGTTGGCTCTCTTCGTTGTGCTCTTGTGCACGTGGCAAGTCATGATAGTAAGCTTGATTAGATGATGGGTCTTCAACAGGGGATGCCACAGCCAAACCAGAATTGTCAATAGCAGTACCAGGAGTACCTTGCTGGTTTGTGGCTGTGGACTGCTGTTGCTGCAGACGAGGTGGCTGTGCCGGAGTACCAGTCATTGTGTTAATGTTGCCCCTGAGGGCAGAAGGAGGTGCCAATGCATAGGCTCCAGGGATTCCTTCTTGCTGGGGTTCGGGAATGGTAAATGTTGCGGTGGATTCAACGGTGTCTTCGCGCCTAGGACAGTTGCTGCTATCAAGATGCGCTCTTGGTCTCAAGGGGGCGTCCGATCCGTCTGATGCTCCTGCCTTGTAGGCCAATTGATTCTTCTTGTCCATAGCAGTAGTCACCGATGGCTTCTGCTTGGCGGGAACATGGTCTGCCTTGGAGCCTGATCCTACCGCCACTGAGAGCAAGGTTGCCTCCCTGGTGGTATCTTCCGGCTCTGTCGTTGGACCTTGACTTAGCCGTTTTTCCACGATTTTGGTCAGCATCTGGTCGTCGAGGCCACCATTGTCCTCATGCAGGTCCACCCCGATACTGCCGTCGCCGTTGCTACCGGCACGGTCCGTGTTAAGGTTAGCAACGGATGGATTTGGCGTACCTTCTTCCCTCGTCGCGGCTGATGACATTGTCTCCGACTCTTCCTTCTGTTCAAGTTGCTCTTCAGTCTTCGTCATGGTGGATTATACTTGTAAAAGCTAAGCCTTCAAGCCTTCTAAGGGTTGCTGCACGCTGTACAGATCTCAACTCAATCAAAAGAAAATGAAGGGAGTGGAAGCAGGAACTGTTGGTGCGTGGGATGTTGCCTCCTTTTTCCTCAGAGTCTCAATACTCGAGGAGCGAATATCCCCCGAATTCCTTACGGTTGCCTCTAATGCTTTTATTACCACAACTAATACGGGGTCTGGGAAGGGGGGAATGAGTGTATGAGTTGTTCATCAGGGTGAAGTCAGGAACTCTAAAGTCTAGAAAAGCCACACGGAACACCAAGAATCGAAAGGCGACAAACACATTCACAGGTGCCAAGGCTTTACTGAGTACATTGTCATGTAACGTAGTGCAACCCAGCCACTAAAAGAGAAGTTCATGAAGACAGAAAAAGCTCAAAAGGAATAAAGGAATCATCTCCAGTTGATAAAAGCAAAACAGAAGGGAGCACCCAAGCAAAAGCTCTAATGCCATAATAAGGAAACCTGGAGCATTCAGGCTCATCAGCCGGTGAGACCAAGAACCAGTTGCGGACAGCAAGTTTACACACTTACTTGGTACTTGGTACACTTACTTGGTACTCCATCCGCCATGTACTCCTACCGGTACTCTTTAGTACTAGTAGAATCTCGGGCCATTGGGGTACTAGTACCTGGAACCTGTACCGGTACCAGGTTCCACCGAATGTCAGTGGTTTCGGTGTAATTTGGTTAGATGGACTGAGTTACTGAGAGTGTCCGAGTGACAGAGTCAAGTCGAGTCTCATTTTTTCATGACTGATGTTGCAGCATTCCTGACTGAAGGTTTCATGACTGATGTTGCAGCATTCCTGACTGAAGGTCGGGACCAAAAAGATACCCCAAAGATCTCGGTCATTGTTCACAAGAATTGCACAAAGCCAAACTTTGCCAGATGCTACCTGCAGCTATCGCACTCGCCACAATCTCCCTACCAGATTTCCTTGCATCATCATCATCACCATCATCACCTGGCTAAATTCGCAAATCAGAGACACTCTGCGCTTGTGTGTGAGAGAGAAAGAGAGTGACCATGATGCCCAAGGCTCCCAGTACGCCGCAAGGAGTGCGAAAAACGAGATCTGCCAAGCCGTCCAAAAAGGCGGGATTAAAACCGGGAGGTCGTTTGAACACGGGCAGTACGAATCGCGAAGTATACTTTCAAGTCAATCTACATGACCTGGATGCCTACACGCAGCAAGTTCTAGAAGCGGAACGTGCTCGTAGACGACTTTGCTTTTGCCGTTTTCTATTCCTGTCCCTCGTGGTCGGGCTCGTATCGTCCGGGTTTTGGACGTTCGGCGACGCCAAAGCTCATGCGGGATTGCTTGGAGCATTTGGACACAACAGCAGCTCTCTACAAGGCGCCGACAATGATGACAAAGACAATGACAACGACAATGACAATGACAACGACTACCAAATGACCACCTGCGAGCGGCATCTCAATGGCAACATGTCGTTTCACCAATTGTTCCAGCAAGTCAAGAATGATCCTTTGGATTCCAAACGTTGTCGCCCCGAGGTACGTACCGGTACGGTATTGCAATTGACGCGACGACGAAGATGGCAACGTAACTCGGAACGAACTTAACCCCTTTGCTCTGATCCTCCTGTAAACTTACGTATCAAGACCGACGCATGTGTCTGGCAAAACCCCACCGTTGGAAAAACACGTGGTATCAGTGACGGATGGAACAGAGAATTCCTTTACAACAAAGAACAGATTGATGACTGGGTACACAACAAAAACTATTCTCTCGATGTCGTCCTCGTTGGTGACTCCCTCGTTGAACACATGGAAGGAAAGGAACTAGGAAAGGAACAAACGAGCCTACGAAGGGATCATGACGTTTTTGATCAACTATTCAACAAGAGCGATGGAGGTGCACTCGATGGACTTGCCCTGGGAATTGGAGGAGATCGTTGTGCCAACCTACTCTATCGTCTCACCAACGGAGAATTGACCAAGGCGTTTAATCCCAAAGTATGGTGGATCGTCGTGGGAACAGAAGACTGGGAGTTTGGATCCACTCCAGCGGCCATTCTTGCCGGAGTCATTGCCATTGTCAATGCAATTCGTAGTGTGCACCCTGACACCCAAATCGTCATCAACAGCTTGCTCCCGCATCAAGTGGACGACGAGTCCATTCGGCAAGTCAATCTAATGTTGGGCTGCTACGTGTACTCGGAATCGCTACGAGAAGAACCAAATCATGATCAGGATCGAAAGTTGCACTTCTTCAATGCCACGGAAATCTTTCTCAAGGAGAACAAACATGGAGAGCTTGTGGTCAACTCGGGATTCATGATGCGTATGCCCAACGGCGAGGAGAGTAATCCTGATGCTCATGGCGAGTTCCTGTGGGGCAAAAGGATTGTCGAATCAGTCCAGAAGATAACCGACAACAACAACAGTGGCTCTCGTGGAAGCAATCATGAAAACCGAAGATCAAGGAGAAAACTGGGAGGAATAGGCTTCCTCTCGTAGCAGCAGCAACAACAACAACAACAACAACTACTACTACTACTACTACTACTACTACTATCGTACCGGTACTATGTAGCAGCATGTCGGCCAAGGGCAGTCGTAATCGTAGTACACGAACACAGTTATTTATACTTCAGCAACTCTTTGCAAAACCCAAACGAACCCAAACAAGAGAACATAGTTTGGATGACGAGAACGAGAAACAGAAAATGAAGGGGGCCAACGCAAAGAGTACGGAACATCAGACCAACTCTTCCCAAAGAATGCTTGCGAGACGAGTGTGCAGTTCAAAGGATACCGTGGGCCCCTGCCGCTGCCAATGCTCGTTCCCTCTAGCGCTCTTTAGGTGCAAGAAGTGGGCACGGTCATACCCAAAAAGGCAATTTCTTGTACAGGCAAGACAAAGTCAGAGTATGTACAATCAGTATTTAAAAAGCTAGCTAGAAGTCAAGAGTTTGGGATTCTCGTATATGCCGCGGTGGCAAGGAAGGCCAAACTAGACGACTGCCCTACCAACGGCGTAGGTACAGCCAACGACCAATCGTCGAGACAAAAGGAGAAGAAGGCATGTTAGAAAGACTAGTTGCAGGTATATGTTTTAAGTGAAAGCCTGTTTGGGTTCCATTTTCCAGCGGAGAGGCAAACGGAACGGACTCCTGAAATGGCCGCCCATCTCCCAAACCCACTGGACGAGGAGCGGAGTGGCTCCAAGGAGCACCAGAAAATGGCGCCATGGTGAGACTATGTGAGAAGAATGTGAACTGACCTTGTTGAAGATGAGACTGGAAGACGATCGACCAACCAGCAAAACCATAGCCGACGGCGTGCCGTAGCCACCAACGGCCATGATTCTTGCCAATGACAAAAGGAGCAAACCAAAGATGGAATGTTAGCAGAAGAAGCAGTGAAAGATTATTTGGGTGCCATTCCCAGCGTATCAAATACCACAAGGTCCATCAATCCATCAAGATGATGTTGACTCTCCTCTTTACAGCGGCTACTTCTCTCCTATGGCTGCTACTACACACATCTCACACACGTCATGATTTAATGCGATTGTGGCTACATTATACTTTACATTCAAGTCATCTAATGTTACTAGTGCTGTCCCAGCTATACTACTACATGTTTTCACGTCTGCATGGTCGGGTGCAGCCAATGCCTCAAATCTTCATTTCGTCATCCGTGGAGTTAATCATGAGACCGACGAATTCCTCGTAGGTGATCATCCCATCACCATCCTCATCGACTTTGTGCAAAGGTAGGCAGGACAAGCAAGGAATGTATAGAGTTAGCAAGTCAGCAAGGTCACGCACAAGCAACAACTTCAGACTGTATACATAATCAACTCGAGGCGTACCTTGTTTTAGTAATCTCTTGATGACACGGTCGTCGTTTACGTCGTCTTTGTCGGGCGTGAAAAAGGACATTGCCTGCTTCAGATCGGCTGCACTGATCAAACCGTTGCCGTCAGCGTCAAAGAGCTCAAACTGAGTGGATCACGTCAAAACTTAAGTGAGCAACTTGATAGATAGATTATTTGCGCGAGAACCAAGCCGGAACAAGAAGACTCACAGCTTTCTTCAGCTTTTGTTGTCCCAGCAAGACATTTTCGTTCATCGTTGCGACCACAAATTCGTTGTACTTACAGCATAGACCAATGGAACAGAGAAAAGGCGCTGTTAGGATATGGAGTGAAAACACAAGCAAGTTTTTGTTCGCCTGCACGAACAGTACGTACTTCGATGTACCCAGTCCGACTATGGTCGCAACGCTTGAACAGATTTTCTAAATCTTCCTTGCTCAATCCGTATCCGAAATACTTAAAGTGGGCCGCCTGGACTTCAGACTTTGAGAGCTTCCCGTTCCTTGTGATGTCTGTAAAAGTGTTCATGGCAAGAAGATGTGAGCGAAACGGACCTGATCAAGTATTCCCTCCACTTCTGATTTACCTAGCTCGCGGAAGACTTCATCGATCGACCTCTTTTCCTCAGCCAGAAGAAGCTGCGACGCTATGAACGTCTTGACCGCCTAGAAGAATAAGTTAGCAATATATGTCGGGCAAATCCACGCAAGATATGCCATTTATACTTACTTCCTTCAGCTTGGAAGATGACACATTTTGCATGTTTGAAAGGGCCAGCATTGCTGAACTATCTGCAACCATAGTCGCAGCGAGCGCTTTCGCGTCGTCCTTCTTTTCTCCGAAATTGCTTTTGCGAACCCCTCGAGCAGTTTCAAGCCAAGGGTGCAGGAGTGCTCTCTCTGCGGTAGGACGCTTCTTGGGCTCGTAGGTGAGAAGCTTCTCTATGAAGTCTTTGGCCTCATCTGAAATGTAGTTCCACGTCGTGCTTGGAAATTTGAACTTGCCCATCACAATGGATTCATATATAGAATCACGGCTCCTGCCTTTAAACGGAAACTTGCTCGACAGAATGACGTAACAGAGCACACCCACTACCGGTACGAAATCAATGAGCAACAGAGAGAAGCGAAAAGATGAGGCAAATCACAATAATTCACGTACAGCCAGAGAGGCTTCGAGGAACTCACCAGACCACATGTCGCAAGATGCTCCAAAATAAGAGCGATTTACAACTTCTGGTGCCACTAAGAGTTGCAGATGAATTCAAAGCGGATTAGAGATCAGTCGAGTCATTATCAAGTGAGCCGTCACTTCTTTCTCGTCACTAAGTAACTTACTGTAGTGTACAGTTCCAACCCGCTCTGTCATCTCTTCACCGTCCTTGAATACTTTTGCAAAACCGAAATCGATCAACTTCACATGGTTGACGTCCTTCGTCTGCTCAAGCAGGATGTTGTCCGGCTGAATGATGAAGCGTAATGTAAGATTTTGAAAATTTCATAGGTGTTTCTCAGGCAAGACACATCATTGTGCTCACATTTACCGTACCTTAATGTCTCTGTGTACAACTTTGCGGCCATGACAGAAATTGAGGCACGAGAGGACCTGAGTAATCAGCACTGCCGCATCGACTTCTTCCAGTTTTCCCCACTTCCAGAACGAAAGTTGTCAGTTCGTATGGTAGCCACAGCTGTCCCTCACAAAACAACGGAGTCAACAACTTACAGTGACAAGGTCGTCACACAGGTCGCCTCCCTAAAGGATCATACGAAAGGAGACAGGAGAGATGACGTTTGGTGAAGGTGAGTAGCAGCTTGTTCTGAACCAAACCAATAGCACCCTCCCGAAACCTACTTTGCAGATATCCATCACGATGTAGTAGTGCCTTTGATCCTGAAAGAGATCATAGAACTTGATAATGTTGGGATGCCCCATTCCCTTGAGGATCTGGAACTCATTAAGAACCTTGCTGTTTTCATGCTTCCTCCAGCGACTCTTGTCGATCACTTTCAGGGCTCGTTCTGCACTTGTGGCTTTGTGTTTGCAGACAAAGACCTTCCCGAAACTTCCTTCGTCAATGAAATCTTACGATTTTCGTTCAACAAAGAGAGCAACCCGCATGTTAGTGGCGTGGAAGTCAAGGATACAAGGATTGCAGTAACGTGACATCTCAATACGCGTCTCACCTTTGATTTCGTAGTGGTTTCTCAAATCTCCATCGCGCTCAGCTACAAAGTCGTGTGTCGTGAATTTGAGCAGTTTCATGTTCTCAGCTGAACAGGCGGAATCAATGGACAGCGTTGACTTGCTAGTGTGCGCCCGCCTTGGAGGCCCCCTCTCCAGTGACGTCAACGGTGGCACATCCTCGTTCTCCTCCGTGTCCGCCTCCTCCTCGTCGGCATCGTCTGTGGTCCTTAGCATCATGGCCATAAATTCCTCGTAAGTGATGCCCCCTGAACCCGTTGCATCCGCTTGTTCCATAATCTTGTCAATGGCTTCATCATCAATCGCCTCTTGCATGGGATCATTCGTCTTCCCGCCCTCCTGTGCAGCTCCACCTCCCCCTTTAAAGTGCGTCAGCACTTCTTTGAGGTCATTCTTTGAGATGGTACCCGATCCGTCTCTATCAAACACCGAGAAAGCCTGACGAATCTTTTGTCTATGAAGCAGGTCGTTTTCGTTCATGGCAGCAATAACGAATTCGCTGTATTCCAGATACCCCGTTCGATTGAGATCCACACGATCAAACAGTTCGTCCAGTTCCTGGTCGGTCAAATCACGATGGAAGCATGCCTTGTACCCCATTTTGACTTCCTCGCGAGAGAGTCGTCCATCATTTTGAGTGTCCAGGGAACGAAAAACATGATCGATAGCTTTTCGTTCTTCTTTGAGCACCATCTGTGCCGCTATGAACGTGAGCGTGCACTGAAGCAAAAACGGAGGCATTGAGCTTCAAATGACTGACGAACAAGCAAAACGACCAAGCGCGCCCAGGTTTACCCTTTCCAGACGACGACGAATCCGTCGGACCACCGCCATTGCCCCGTCAAACAAAAAATACTTGCCTGCTTAAGCTTGCTGGAAGCATTGAACTTGGAAACGTTATTCCATGCTGCCATGGTCGCCATTGAGTTGACGAAATCTTTCCCATCCGACGATGATGGCCCAACCTTGTTGCTTGCTGAAAACCGGTTCACGTCCCCATCGGTCCTTTGCACGGAAGAGGACAAGGACGTCATTTCTGCAATCCACGGATGTTGCAATGCCTGCTTGGCGGTGGGTCGATCGTGTTCCTCGTACGTCAAGAGTTGGCGCAGAAAGCTCTTGGCTAGGTCCGAGACGTTGGCCCAATCAAATGTGGCATTGAGTGGCGATTCTCCTCCGTCCTCCAAGTAATCGGAGTAAAAGTCTGTGGATTTGCTTTCCGCAGCGTAACTACTAATGAACTCATCGTTTTCGTTTTCTTCTTCACCCTCTCCCAATAAGAAGAACTCCCCTCGAATAATGTTCTCGCAAATCTCTTCCCTCGATTCTCCCCGGAAGGGTAATCGATTGGAGAGTAGTAGATAGCATAGTACACCGCATGCCCAAACATCTCGTTTGGGTCCAATGGACCCCTTGAGTACGACTTCGGGCGCCCAGAAATCGACGGACCCCTTTCGCTCGGGGAGAATGGATTTTGCCCTGGAGCTTCGACTGCGTCGGTTGCTGCTTTCACTGGTTAGAGTAGATTGATTGAGTTCGTCGTCGTCGTCGTCGTCTGTGTCACTCGTACTGTCATCATCCATGCTGAACAAGCTTTCCACATCCAAGTTTTTGGTGGCATCAGGATGATTGCTGTTTTCCTTGTCGTTGTCGTCGCCGTCGCCTTGTTCGGCGTTTCCATCATCTGGATCGTCTTGGTCTTCCATAATCTCGGCACAGGCAAAGTCAGTCAACTTGACGTGATCTAGATCCTTGTCTTGTTCCAATAGAATGTGCTCTGGTTTGATGTTTCCATGAACGATTCTGTTGGAATGGAGGTAGTTGACCACACTGAGTAGTTGTTTGAGTATAAGTGCGGCATCTTGTTCCTGCAAGGGTCCCCAGGTATCGAGTTCCTGGCAGAGATCTCCCCCGTGACAAAGGTCCATGACAATGTAGAAATGGTCTCTTCCTTCGAATAGCTCATATGTCCTGATGAGACTGGGATGATCCAATGTTTGTAGAATTTTGAATTCCCTGACGAGTACCTGATTTTGCGCCCTGTTCCAAGTGGAGTATTTTTTGACGACCTTGACTGCTCTTTGAATTCCAGTGTCTCTGTGCAGACAAATGTGTACATTGGCATGATGCATCCCTTCATGGTGACTACTGCTGTTACCGGTAGCTGTGGATTGTCGCTTGTCTCTCTTGGTGTGAGTGCTGCTGTTGAGGTTGTTGTTCAGGTTGTTAGTGTTGTTGTTGGATGTTCCTCTATGAATGAGCTTTCCAATGGTGTAGTGTTTCTTGAGTTTGTCCGGTGAGAGCGCCACAAAGTCCAGGGCACTGAACTTGAGTGAAGCTGCCTTTTGTCCCATTCTGCGGTTTTGTCGCTTGAGCTTTTCCTTGCTGCTCAGGGTTATAGCCTTACTACCAGTACCAGTACCAGTACCAGTACCAGTACCAGTAGCGGGACTGCCATCCAGGGCATCTCCTGCACCTTCAGCCTCCTTGTCGTCCTTCTTGTCTAGATCCTCCTTCTTGTCCCTATCTTCACGGCCAGGCTTTCTCTTGGCGTGGCTTCTTCCGCTAGCAGCACTTGTACTACTGGTAGTAGTACGACTGGTCTTGTGCTTGGTGTTGTTGTCTTCATCATCATCATCATCAGTCAAATCTTCCTGGATGGACACTCCCAAGATGTCCACTTCAGTGAACTCCTTAGACATTGCTTTGTCTTGCTTTGTCTTTTAATAGGTCTCTCTTACTAGTACTTAGGTCCCTTATACGGTCTTGTCTTATCTTTCTGATGAGTGAATCGAATCGAATCAAATCAATGGCCAGTCCAACCAGCTAGCTATCCAGCGGCAGTTCTCAAGACTTAGTTGTGAGGCTCTGAGGCTGTGAAGCAACCCACTCTTCCCCCAACTCAAGCTACTAGTAGGTACAGTACACTGTCAGCAACACAAGCTCGATGCTGATCACAATGGTATCTTCCTTCCGCATTGATCTCTCTCTCGGAAGGAAAGCTCTTACAGTATAATAGTGTTGCGAGAAACGATCGAATTCATTTTGAGAATTTGGTGATTGGCTGATGTCTGCGCTTTTCATCTGTGCTGTGATTGTGAGACACATTGGGTTCAGAGAGGCTTGGATTCTATTACTAACAAATAACACGGAGGAAAGTCGGCCAGGCACACTCTAGTTTTTTATATAGCTAAATAAATCTCACTAAGACATCAACTTCAAC